TTTTGTTAGTACATCTCTTTCTTCTCATTGAATTAAGAGAAAGTAGCTGTATATCTATCCTATTTTGTATATATAAATACAAACTGGTCTTTCCTTTGTATCCCTTTTGTTTAGTCCTGTCAGAGGTGGGTATTCTAATGGCATCTAAATACTATAGGTGTTTGAATTCAGCAAACCAATCCAACACAGTCCAGCAGTCTATAATATTGGTGGGTTATCCTCAGAAGTTACTGACTTGAGCCTTTTACAACTTATCGTATTAATATGGCTTTACTTTATATGCCTCATTTTTATACTTTTCTGCTGGATCGTTAAGACCAAGATAAAGCAAGACCTATATAGCAAGAAATGTAACTTTTGTATCCGATAAGGTTAGTCAAGTACCCTCAGGATTTATCCTGTAGCCCTGTACCAAACTTTGTAGATCCTTTGTGAGTGTCAACCGTGAGGATGAGTCACGGCCATTGCTTGACCACTTTGCTCTCTGTGAAAGCCTTGAGAGACTGTTTTTTCTCTCCATATGACTCTCCCCAGGCACACTATACATCATCGATCACATTCCTCTGTGGCTCTATAATCTTCTTGATCAGAAAATTTGGAGCACAACTGAGTTACATGATGTTACAGTACAGGTTCTCCTATGTCCCAAGTCTTCACTGACCTTGAGAAGCTAGGGCTGACCTTGCAGCCTTTCCTTTTCTCCAGTTTTGATCTGCTAACTTAGGTTAACCCTCCAGAAGAGAAGCTTGTTATTAACCTGCAATATATGTAGTTCGGTTTACCCTATCTATCTAAATATCAAATGTCTTTGGCGTATCATGGAACAGGTATTTTCCATCAAATATTGACATGTGAACTTTAAGTGCTTACAGAATATGAAGGAACAATAATTTTAAAAAACTAGAGGGGCTGGTGAGATGGCTCAGTGGTCTAAAGCACCTACCTAGAACAAGCTAAGCAAAGCAAAGCACAGGGACCGCGGTTCAATCCCCCAGCACCACATGCCAGCCAGCCTTGCCCCCTGGTGGGCTGAGCTGGCCACACACACACACACATCCACATACACATACATACATACATAAAAAATTTAAAAAAAAACAAACTAGAAACAAGCATTTACATATTTTTACAAAGAAATTTAGAAATCTAACCACATACAGCATTGTAACAGTACAGACCTATGACATTTTTTTCTTATTCTTGTGTCTTTTTTTAAATTTATTACTCTTTTTTAAAAGGAAAAAAAATAAATAAACCTTTACTTGAGAGACAGTATGGCAATAATTGGTATGTCATGACAAGAAGTACATATTTAGAAGACCAGGATGGCAGGCACTCCAAGCGTGACCCCTCTGTTACACATCGCCATCCTCAGTGTAGCTGCCTGGCTCACAGGCATCAGCATATAGAGTTAATCAGGGTGAGAATTGCACCAGCCAACCGCTAGTCTCAAAAACCTGCTGTCCCCCAGGATCACTGCCCCACCCATCTCATG